AAGCTCTGCCTGAGCTGGAGACGAGCTGCGCGGATCCAGTCGATCAGCACCTCAGTGACATCACCCTTGCCGCGCAAGGGGAAGACTGCGGTGTAACGCGAGTAGTCGTCAACAACGAGCAGGAAGTAGCGCTCGTGACCCTGCCCACGGACGCGGGCTGGGCCCCACACGTCCATGTGGAGCGTCTGCAACGGGGCCTCTGTCGGAGGAAACTGGGAGGAGTGAGGGGCAGCACGCTGGCGCCCCTCGACACAGGGGACACAGGTAGGGCCAGGGCCCTGAGGAAGGGGAGGGAGGGACCGGGGGAGACCAGACACTAGAAGACGGGAGGCCATGCCTCTGAGCCGAAGCAGAGAGGGGTGACCAAGACGGTGGTGCCAGAGAAGAGTCTCGTGAGACAGGAGACGACAAGAACAGGGGGCAGACTCAGGACCAGACCTGGACGCAGCAGCAAACACCTGACCCGACGAAGCGACTCTACCAGACTCAGTAACGGGAGGAGACGCAGTGGTCAGTGTGTACAGGCTCGACCCCGGCTGACGGGTAAACGTAGCCAGGTGTCGGCCTGTGCGAGCCTCTGTACAGTGCGTCACCCGCTGACGCGCAGGAGTGAACTGGTGTACACCCGCATCCTGTAGGTCAGCACCACTCACCAGGTTCGTAGAGAACGAGGGGAGGTAGAGACCAGACAGGGTGCCAGAGGGAGCCGCCGGACACGGGAGGACTGTGGAGAAGCGAGACAGGACAGGACCCCCAGAGGGGTCAGCCAGAGACACTGCAACCGGTCGACTCAGCGGTGTGAGTGTGGTGCGGTCCCTAAAGAAGGAGCGAGACGCCCCAGAGTCAAGGGTGAAGGTGAGGGAGGCCGAAGCCGACGTAGTACCTGAGAGCGCAGACTCACCAGTACCTGAGGACGCAGACACACGAGCACCTAGGGCAGCAGCGTCGCAAGCACCTAGGGCAGCAGCCTCACCAGGACCTAGAGCAGCAGTCTCAATACCCGGATCGGGCGGGAAACACCGGTAACAGTCACCCTCATCACTAATAGACACAGCATACATGGCAGAGAGAATAGCATCAAAGTCAAGATCATAGATGGCAACACCCGCCCTGGACAGGTCACCCCAACGAGGGATCTCTGAGGCCTCCGGGAACTGGTGACGCCACGCGTCCGTCAGGCGGCCAAAGCAGCGCTGAGTGGGGTGGGGACCCCCACACTGCTCACCCGCACGGTCGCCGGTGCGCAAAACGTAGGAGCACGGACCAAAACCCCCACCTCGCTGACGCGCAGTGTACCACTCACGAAGCTGCTGAGGGGACAAGGTGTCACGACCACGCTGCTGCTGCTGGCGCGAGCCACCACCGGAGCCACTCCTCTGCGAAGACCCGCGACCAGCACCACCTCCACCCCCGCCGCCTCCTCCGCCTCCGCCGCCTCCGCTACTGCCGCCGCCTCCACCTCCGCCTCCGCCGCCGCCACCTCCGCCACCCCCGCTCCCACTGCCACCGCCGCCGACACCTCCGCCTCCACTGCCGCCACCGACTCCTCCACCCCCACCTCCACTCCCACCGCCACCCCCACTCCCCCCACTGCCGCCACCTCCACCTCCACCGCCCCCGCTCGCTCCTCCAGCGCCCTTGCCCCCCTTGCCCTTGCCAGAGCGGCGTCTCCCACTAGGGGCAGACGCCACACCGACCGACTCAAGACCAAGGAGGTCGGCCGCAGCAGCAGAGGCAACAGAGGGCAGAAGGGGGGAGGGGGAACACCCCTCAAAGATGGGGGTGCGCGGGTCACCACGAGAGGCCCCTACAGCGACTATGCTCTTCTCGGCCGCTAGGAGGGACTTCTCGAGGAGGTCAACAGTGAGAGTGGTGGGACAGACAGAGAGAAAGTGGTCCCTGACTACGCGAAGGGAGTCAGGAAGGCGAGTGACTATGTAGTAAAGAGTGATGTACATGGGGGGGGGGTTCTTGGCGCAGAAGTCAGCAGGGAGTGCAGCGCGGTAGCGAGTGTCACTAGTGCGGAGGTGCGTAATGAGGTCAGCGACTGTGGGAAAGGCAGCAAGGTCAGGAAAGAGGTACGGTAGCATGAGACGGCTCAGTGCAGCAGTGGCAGGGGAGGAGTAGCGCGCAACTACAGCGTCGTACAAGGTCTGAGCACTCTTGTACTGACTAAAGTGTGCACGCTCGGAGGTAGGGAGGTGGCGACGCACAGCAAGACGTGCAGCAGCGTCGCGCGTGGCCCACTGGGAGCGAACAGTGGCGTCGGCGTCAGCAGCAGGGGCAGTGGAGGCGCCAGAGGTGAGGTCAAAGAGAGAGAGACCATCTGCCCTATCGCACTGTAAGAACAGCTGCAGGTCATCCACCCAGACCTCAAAGTCAATGGCCCGACCCTCAGCGTCAAAGACTAGAACACTAGGGGTAGCCATGACCCTAGACGACTGGCAGCGCAAACAGTAGGGTGAGGGCAGTGCAGTGAAAGGGCGCTGTGCTCACCAGACTGGACAGGTCGGGCGGCCCGGAAGGAGGGCGGCGCGGCGGCTCGGCGGCTCGGCTGCCGGGCGGCTCGGCGGCTCGGCGGCTCCGCTGCTGGGCGGCACGGCTGCTGGGCGGCTCGGCTGCTGGGCGGCTCGGCTGTTGAGCGGCTCGGCTGCTGGGCGGCTCGGCTGCTCTGCTGTCGGGCGGCTCGGTTGTGCTGCTGAGGGGCAGCACGGCTCGGGCTGCTCGGGCGGTGCGGGCGGCTCGGGCGGCTCGGGCGGCTCAGCTCCTCAGCGGCACAGGCGGCGTGGGGACCGAGACGGCGGCGCGCGGCTGGGACGGGCGGCGCACGGGCGGCGTGGGGCCGGGACTGCGGTGCGCGGCCGGGACGGGCGGCTCACGGGCGGCGTGGGGCCGGGACGGGCGGCGCGCGGGCGTCGAGGGGCCGGGACGGGCGGCGCGCGGGCGTCGAGGGGCCGGGACGGGCGGCGCGCGGGCGTCTAGGGGTCGGGCCGGGTGGCGCGCGGGCGTCTAGGGGCCGGGACGGGCGGCGCGTGGGCGTCGAGGGGCCGGGACGGGCGGCGCGCGGGCGTCTAGGGGCCGGGACGGGCGGCGCGCGGGCGTCTAGGGGCCGGGACGGGCGGCTCACGGGCGGCGAGGGGCCGGGACGGGCGGCGCGCGGGCGTCGAGGGGCCGGGACGGGCGGCGCGCGGGCGTCGAGGGGCCGGGACGGGCGGCGCGCGGGCGTCTAGGGGCCGGGACGGGCGGCGCGCGGGCGTCTAGGGGCCGGGACGGGCGGCGCGCGGGCGTCTAGGGGCCGGGACGGGCGGCGCGCGGGCGTCTAGGGGCCGGGACGGGCGGCGCGCGGGCGTCTAGGGGCCGGGACGGGCGGCGCGCGGGCGTCTAGGGGCCGGGCCGGGTGGCGCACGGGCGTCTAGGGGCCGGGACGGGCGGCGCGCGGGCGTCTAAGGGGCCGGGACGGGCGGCGCGCGGGCGTCTAAGGGCCGTGACGGGCGGCTAAAGGGGCCACTAGGGGCCAAGAGAGAGGGGAGCGCGACTCGGGTAGGGGCAGAGTGCGCTCCGGGCAGGAAAAAAACGGTGGGCCCTAGGAACAGTTCCCACGAGGGAACCTGCTCGATACCATGAGAAGAATGAAGAACGAGGATGAATGAACTATGAATGAGGTGAGTACATATGGAAAACCCTAATTGGGTTGTACCCCCTATGGGATACCCCACTATAGCCTACACAACAGCATAAGCTATATAATGTTCTGACAGAAAAGAAACCGGAGTTCCAAGGGCAGCCATCAACCCCTACTACTCACTCGGATAATTAAGTGCGAGACTCGATAACTACCCTCGTCAATCTTTGGGTGTCCGTCACATCGAGACAGAAAACGTACAGGGTACCTTCGAAATAAGGGGTAGGGGGTGTGCAATTATCGAGAATAGGGTGTACATTGGCGGCCTGTTGCGGTTGGTCCGTCAGCTGAAAACGCTCTGTAAAGCAACTCTCTGACCATGAATGACCTTTCATCTACAGCGAGTTTGTACATTCCAGAAGCCCGTACAGTTGACTGTACCTATGTAGGACCCCCTTTAGTCTAACGGTCAATGCATCCATCATCATCAAGAGACGCCGTAAGCACCCATGGATTCTGCCGAGCATCACTGTGCGTTTTTCCCGCTTCGCTGGTTCGCTCCTTGGGATTGGAAACCCCGCGGCCATGAAAGACCCACGCCAGTCACGCCACGCCATTCCGGTCCACTGATTTTGCCGAGCATGTGATGGTTCACGCACGCTCGGCCCGTGGAGCAGTAGCCTAGCCAATCTCGATCTTATCTCCCCTCTCCTCCCTTCCTCCACTCGCTCCCTCCTCCGCGTAGACTACACTACACACAAACCAGCGGACGCGCTTCGGAGTCAGGGACCCCTTCTCCCCTCCTTACTCCCCTCTTTCCCCAGCCGCGCACATCAATGCCCGTCCTCCCGTCCCGACCCGACCGAGTCTCGTGAACGAGCTCGTTTCCGTCCCGTCGTGTCTCGTCCCGAGTTCCGTCTGTCCGACTTAGGTTCGACGACGTTCGAAGATAGCCAGCACCTGTGCCTTACGTCCCCCACCTTCTCCTCGTAGGGTATCGGCGTCACGCAAGCGTTTTAACATTTTCGAGCGACGGAGCTAGGGATCCTTCTGCGCATATGTATTTCCGTGTGTCGTTTTGAGCTAGAAAAACTTTGGAAAAGCAGATAATGAACACACTTGCATATTAGCCTTTTATTTTCGCGACTAATTGACAGTCATGCCGCGGTCACGGGAAACCGTTCATTTTTTGCTCCCGCCGGCAGACGATTCTGCCGGCCGGGACTCTCTACTGGAGCCCTTGCCTGGCGGGCCGTCACCGACGGCTAGCCGGCCGCCGCCCGGCCCCAGCAGTGCTGTGCCGGCCGTTTCGCCACCCGTGGCCGCGTCGTCGCTACCGTCGGCGAATTTCGCGGCTGTGCGACATCGCAGGGTGTCTATGGACCTTTCTAAGACTCCGTCGCCCATGCATACGACGGGAGCCAGCCAGGTAATGGGCGACAGGAAAAGAAAACCCTAAAAGAGCCTTCAAAAGAAGCGTGGGTTGGTAAGAACCGGGAGAGCGTCATTAGCCGGTTGACAGCGGCATTAGCAGGTGGAGAGTGGCATACGCCGGTGGAGAGCAGCGGTCTGAGCCTGTGAGGAGCGGCATTAGCCCGTCAGCAGCGTCAAAACTGGGAATCGCTGCCTCTTTCTCCTCTTCGAGTCTCCGTTTCTTCAGCACTTTCCTTGTCCCGACCCTGGCTTCCTCTCCTGGAATCACTACCATCCATCTCTGCACCCTCTGTTCACCTCTCTCCTTGTCTGCCTCTCCTCTATAGGCTCCCTTACTCGCGAGCGCCGAGGGTGCACGGCTGAAGAGCATGAATCGCACGACGGGCAACCGCAGCCGTGCAGTGCCGGTGCGACGCAACGACCTCACCATCTCTGCTCCCTCGTCCCGCCGTTGCCCCAACACCCCCCCCCCTCCTCCAGGCCCCTCTGTTAGCAAGCGCGGAGGGAGCGCGACTGAAAAGCATGAATCGCACGACGGGCAACCGCAGCCGGGCGGTGCCGGTGCGAGGCAACGACCTCACCATCTCTGCACCCTCGTCCCGCCTCAAGCACGACCTGCGCCACGTGCACTTTGACTCCAAGGTGCGTTAACTGGGGTTGACTTGGGTTAAAACTAGACTAGAGCGTGCATGCATTCATCCTCAGATGCACTGTGACCTGCGCCACATGCACTTTGGCTCCGCTTATCAAGTCCCGTTTCCCCTGGCTCTCCCTTCCCCCCTTCCTCTGCCTCCACCCAATCCCATACTCGTTACAAGCAGCCTGTGCTGGGCGCCCTGAGAACCAAGCTCGAGTCAGCAAAGGACAAAATGGACGCGGAGCTGCGCTGCTTCTGTCTCGACATCTTCCACCCGCTCTCTCCCCTCGCCCTCCTCCCCTCACACTCGCCTCTCCTCCTCCTCCCCGCCCACTCGCCCCCCTCGCCCTTCCCCGCCCAGTCCTCCGCGCAGTCCCCCCTCCCCTCGCCTATGTGCTCCTCGGACTCCCCATGTACTCCTGTCACGCATGTGCCCAGCATTGGTAGAGGTCCCCGTCTTGTGTCGTTTGGCCTGGGAGAAACCAGCTCTTCTGCTGCTGCTGGTGTCTCTGCTGCTACTGCTGCGTCTGCTGCTGCTGCTGCTGCTGCCGCTGCTGCTGCTGGTGCTGGTGCTGGTAGTGCTGGTTCTGATGGTAAAGCCGTTGTTGATAGTGTTGGTCCGGGTAGTGGGGCCAGTAGCACTGGTGGCACGACCGATGTTAGCAGCAGCAGCAGAAGCGGTGGCGGCAGCAGCAGCAGCGGTGTTGGTGGTAGTAGCAGCGGTGCAGGTAGCAGTATCAGGGGTGGGGGCCGTTCTTTCAAGACACCAGAAGCAGTGACGCCACTGCCTCCCTCTGCTGCTGCTGCTGCTGCCGCCGCTGCTGCTGCCGCTGCCGCAACCCCTACCACCAGCACCAGCACTAGCACCAGCGCAATTACCCCAAGCACAGGCAGCATCAGTAGCACCGAATGGGCGGCAGGAGTGCGTCAGTTAAAATCCGTAGCAGAGCGCTGCCTTGCCATGTCAGCAGACGATTTTGGGCGGCAGAGTGAGTCCATTGTGCAGGAGCTGAACGCTGCCAGACAAGCCATGCCGCCCGGAAGCCCGCTGCGCCAGCTCATCATGAAGCTGCTTTTTGTCCTGACCCGATGCACGAGATTGCTACAGTTCCAGAAGGAGGGAGGGGGTGTGGGCGGCAGGCACAGTGATGGTGGGGATGGTGGAGAGATAAGGGCTAACAGCATGGGGAAAGACGGGGTGAGTGAGAAAGAAGAAAGAGGAGGAGAAGGAGGAGGGGGAGAAGGAGGAGGGATGGGAGTTAACAGTGACACGGGTGGCACTGCTGATGTCAGCACTGTTGGGGCAAGGCGAAGTGGGGATGTGGTAACTGCCAGACTGGGAACATCTGTAACACCCGGTGCAAGGAGCAGGAGGGCAGAGTTACATGTGGTTACCAAGCAACCAGACGCACCCCTGGTTACCAGACTGTCTGACGGGCAAATCTCAGTGGTTTTGGAAAAGGTGAGGCCTAGGCGAGTGGTGTTTGGAAGCGACTCACGATGGGAGGAGGCTCTAAACCTGCATCGGAGTGGTAATAACGAGGATGAGAGCAGGCAGAGTGGAAGTAAGAGCAGTGCGGTTTGGAGTGGTTTGCCAGAGTTTGGAGGGTGGAGTGATGGATATGAAGTGAAGGAAGGGGAGAGGCAAGAGGCAGCAAAGGAGGGAGGAGAAACAATAGCAGAGGAGGGGGTTAGCATAATAAACAAGGCCCGAGTGGGAGAGCAGCAGCAGCAGCAACAGCACCAGCAGCAACCAAGACCCTCGTTACGTTCCGTCCGCTCGCGGTCCAGTTTCCACAGCCCTGAGCACAGACGAGCAGCTCTAGCTGCTGCTGCTGCTGGTGCGGGTGCCGCTTCTGCTGCTGCTGGTACTATTGGTGCTGCTGGTGGTGGTGTTGCTGGTGCAGTTATTGACGCTTCTGATGGTGATGCTGACGTGGTTGATCGAGCCGCAGCAGCACTGGCAGCAGCCATTGCAGCAACAGCAAAAACAGCCGGAGCAGGAGCAGGAGCAGCTGAGCTGGCAGCATCAGCAGGAGCTGTGGGCCAATCAGGGAGGAGAACCCCAACGCACACAGACGGCAGCAGCAGCACCACCAGCAGGTCCCAGGGCAGGCTTGACCACGTGCTATCACTCTCACTACCCTCTCTCTCCGCACTGCCCACGCTCTCCTCCCTGCCCTCCCTCTCTGCACTGCCCCTGCTGCGCCCCCCTCGACCGCCTGATGGGAGTGGAAAGGGGCAGATGGCAGCACAGGAGGCCATGCGCAGTAGAAGCGACGACAGGCTGTCGCCAGCTGACGTGTCGCCAGCTGGCGCGGTGCCAGCTGGGCTGGGTGAACAGCCTCTTGGGAGTGTTGAGTTGTTCACCTCGGGGTTCACTGGGTCAGCTCAGGGGTTGACTGGGTCGCCTCAGTTGTTGACTGGGTCAGCTCAGGAGTTGACTGGGTCAGCTCAGGGTCTGCTGACTGACAGGCTGTCACCACCTGGTGTAACTAGCGAATCGTGGCTCGATTTCACTCGGAGCTTCCAGGAGATGTCTCAGGTGAATCAGCAGGTTCAGGTGAATCAGCATGTTCAGGTGGAGCGCACTAGAAGCAGCGAGAAACTGCCACCAACTGGGAGAAAGCTACTCCACTTGGGAGGATCCTTCCAGGAAAGCGGCAGTAGAAGTGCTGCAGCTTCTGCCAATATCATGAGTGGTGGTGTGGGTATCTCTGCAGACCTTGCTGCATGGGACCTACTGCTGCTGCAGAGGAAGGGGAAGGAGCAGCAGCGGGAAGGGGAGTGGGAGCAGGAGAGGGAAGAGGAGGGGGCTGTAGGGTTCCTGAAGCCTCCTGCTGCTGCTGCCGGTGCTGCTGCTGCTGCTGCTGGTCCTGTTGGCGCTACTCCGCTTGCTGCCACGCTTGCTGCCACGCTTGCTGCCACGCTTGCTGCCATGCCTGCTGCTGCGATTAGCGCGTCTCCCACACCTGCTGCTACCACCACCCCTGCCACTGCTGCCCCAGAGAGGGCCTGCACCCCCCCTCTGATCCGCGCGGGCAGCTGGAAACGGGGCAGCGGCCGGGTGTCCACATGGGGAGGGGCTGGAGCCTCAGTAGTAGCAGCGGGAGCAGGAGCATGGGGAGGGGCGGCAGCAGGGGCGGCAGCAGGGGAGGTGAGTCCGAGTCCGAGGAGGCTGACAGCGTCCCTGAGTGGGCGGTTGGGAGAGGTGCTACTGGCGGTGGAGCAGCAGGCTCAGCGCTTCTCCTGCTCTCCCGGCACCCTGGGACTCGCCCAGGTGGGTGTGGGGGGGCTTGGACCAGCAGCAGAGGAGGCGAGTGGGCGGTTGGGAGAGGTGCTACTGGCCGTGGAGCAGCAGGCTCAGCGCTTCTCCTGCTCCCCTGGCACTCTAGGATTTATGCAGGGGGGTGTGGGCGGTCTTGATGGTCTTCTGCCCTCCCCGCCAGAAAAAGCTGCAGGTGCTTTAGCTAGTGTAGCTGCTTTTTCAGCAGGGACAGATGTTGCAGCAGCAGGGACGGGTACTGTAGCAGCAGGCGCAGGTGCTGGAGCAGTAGTGTCGCAAGGGAAGTCCTTAAGCAGGTCTCCCCAGGCAGTGGGGATGATGGGGGGGAGTGTGGTTGCGTCGCGGCCTCCTAAGTCTCCCCAGGGGGTGAAAGATTCGCAAGAGAGTGTAGAGGTGAAACATCTCATTGGAGGTGGGGAGCTGGAAGAGGGTAGAGATGAGGGAAGAGTAGAGGGAAAGAACGAGATTGATGGTGTGGTGGAAGAGAGGGTGGAGGAGAAAGGTTGGCAGGAAAAGGGGTACGAGAGTGTGAAAGCTGGTTCTGCTGCTGCTGCCGCCGCGGGTGCCCCAGCGGAAGTTGTAGCAGCAGGGGCAGCAGCAGGAACAACAGCGACGACAGCGGCGGCAGCAGCAGGGCCGCAGCAAACAAGGCAGGAGGGCGGTCGGGAAGAGGGCAGCAGCAGCAGGGGAGCGTGGGAGGGGTGGCATGAGGTGGTGGTGGTGGGGGATCGGGGTGAGGGGGGCCACGAGAGTGAGCAGGACAGGGGTACTGTGGGGCAAGGCGTGCAGGGCAAGTCAGACCCAGAGCTAGGGTTAGAGCCAGGATTAGGGTTAGGGTTAAGAGAAGTGGTGCGAGAGAGCGGGGTGGGGAAGCTGGCAGAGGTGGACCAGGAGGTTGCAAAAGCGAGCACAGGAGAACGAGCAGGGGATGGAGTGGAGGAAGGGAAGGGTGTGATGGGGGTGATAGGAGCAGGGGTTGTGCGAGAGGATGCGTTTTTGGAAGCTGTGGTGATGGGGCATGATGGCTCTGTTGGAAAAACACCTGAGGTGGCACCTGAAAAGGCACCTGAAGTGACACTTGAAGTGGCACCTGAGGTGACACCTGAGGAAGCGGCTGAGGATGGTTCGCTTTCATGTCCACCGGAGGAAATTCTGCACCTGCCGCTGGTTCGGATGAGTCGAGGCAGTGACCTTACCACCCCGTTTCATGCTCTGCTTCCCCTTGGTGATGCTCCCTTTGCTGCTGTTCTGTCAAGCCGTTCGGATGCTGTAGTACCAAGCAGTGGTGGTGGGCTTGGCAACTCCTGGGACGGTGCTGCTGGTGAATTGGCAGCAGTGGGGGAGGGGAAATGGAGGATAGGAGAGCCGAGGGAGGAGCAGGAAGGGCAGGTGAAGGAAGGACAGGTGGAGCAAGGGCCGGTGAAAGAAGTGCAGATGCAGCAAGAGCAGGTGGAGCAAGAGGCAATGGGTGGTGAGACTGGGAGCAAGGCACTGTTGCAAGCGGCGGTTGCAGACGAGGGAAAGGGGGTGGTGGGAGTCCACGAGGAGGGGGAGGGGAAGGGGAAGGGGAAGAGTGAGGTGGAGGTGGAGGGGATAATGGTTGATGAAGAGGCGGCTGAGGCCGTTGAAAAGTATGCAGACACGGCGAATAGATCCAGCGAGTGGGAGAAGCAGCCGCAGCAGCAGCTGCAACAGCTGCCACCCCCGCAACAGCAGCAGGCGGCAGGAGCAGTGGGGGCGGGTGGAGTAGTGGGAGCGCGAGGAGCAGCAGCTGCAGCAGGAGCGGCGAGTGCAGGCGTGGATGAGAGTGTGTTATTGGAGATAGTAAAGGAGAGGCTTAAGCTTGAGAGGACCAGCTCGGGTAAGCTGCTGCCGTATAGGTACGGCTTCTGGGGGCGGTGTGATAGTGCTGGGCGGCAGGATAGTGTTGGGCGGTGTGATAGTGCTGGGCGGCACAATAGCATCGGGCGGCAGGATAGCGTCGGGGGGCAGGATAGTGTCGGGGGGCAGGATAGTGTCGGGCGGCAGGATAGTGTTGGGCGGCAGGACAGTGTCGGGCGGCAGGATAGTGTTGGGCGGCAGGACAGTGTCGGGCGGCAGGAGGATTGGAAAGCTATAGTAGAGGAGTTGAAGGGAGTGGTCGATGGGACACTGAAGGGCCGGCAAGAGCCAGATGACATGTATGGGGGAGAAGGGGAAAGCCTACAAGGGATGCGAACAGATGCTGAGGGCATGGAAATCGCATCAGGATCTGCGATGGAAGAAGGCAAAGGAGCACAGGGAGAGGCAGGGGAAGGGACAGGGATCGGGGCGGGAGCAGGTGCTGGGGCAGGGACAGGGGCAGGGGCGGGGGTGGGGGCGATGGCAGGAGCAAGGGCAGGGGGCGGGGCGGGCACGGGGGTAGAGAGGGGACGGGTGAGCAGAGGCACGTCTGCAAAAGAGAATCAGGAGGAGGAGGAGGAAGCAGTGGTGATGTGCCGGATTTGTGAGGAGGAGGTACCACTGCGGGACCTGCAGGAGCACTCGTGCCTCTGTGCCCTCGCCAACCGGTGCGACGACACGCGGTTACCGCTTGATGAGCGGTTACATAGGCTCGGTGCTGGGTTGGATGCGGTGGTGGCGGAGCTGTCTGTGCGGCTTGAGGCCGCTTTTGCATCCGATGCTGCTGCCGCTGCTAATGCCGCCGCTGCTGCTAATGTCTCTGCTGCTGCTAATGCCGCTGCTGCTGCTTGTGCTGCTGATGCCTGTGACCGTGGTGATGCTGCTACTACTGGTAGTGATGTTGATGCTGCGTCGGGTTATAGTCCCCTTAGCATGAGCCCAGCTGAGAGCGACTGGCAGTTCGCTGCTCAAGTGGAGAACAGAGAGGAGGAGAAGAAGGAGGAGAAGGAGAGGAAGGCACCTGGGTCTAGCAAGCTAAGTGTTGAAACGCCTCAGAGCTCTCTTGTTTCCCATGAGACGTCTGAGTTGCTAGAGGAGCAGCCAGAGAAGGTATTGCGGGCGGGGCCCGAGAGGCAGGAGCAGCTGGGGAAGGAAGTGAAAGGGCAGAAGCTTTCAGAGGAGGAGGAACAGCAGCAGTGCTTAGCTGGCAAGGCACCAGTGGAGCAACAGCATTTATCACAGGGAAACTCGCATCTTGAGCAGCAACAGGAGCAGCAGCAGGAGCAGCAACAACAACTTATGTCAGAGCGAGAAAAGCAGCACCAGGCAGCTGCAGCTTCAGCAGCACCACCACCAGCATCGTCACTACACAAGGACCAACAGAAACAGCAGCAGCAGAATCAATCACCACAGAAGCTGCAGCAGCAGAAGCAGCAGCAGCGGTCGCCCCTGTCAGTGCGCACATCCCAGGCACACGGCAGTCCCTGGAAGCTGGACCTCGTGCCCCTCATGAAACGCGCTGGCCTCTCCCTCTCCGCCTCCTCCTCCCCCACCCTCTCCCCCGCCACTCGAACCGCCCTCTCCAACTCCTCCTCCCCGCTCCTCTCCCCTGCTGCCAAGCGAACAGGGCTATCCAACCCTTCTTCCCCTAGCCTTTCCTCTGCAGGCAAGAGAGTGGGTGGTCTTGCCAGTGCATCCTTTCCTCTCGCGAGTGCATCCTTTCCCAGCCTTTCCCCTGCTGCCAAGCACAATGCTCTCTCCGACTCTTCTCCAGCTCTCCCCCCTGCCGAACGCACTGCCATTTCAGATGCCTCCTCCTCTGCAGGCAAGAGAATGGGTGGTCTCGCCAGTGCATCCTTTCCCAGCCTATCCCCTGCAGCCAAGCAAAATGCTCCCTCCAACTCCCTTCCAGCACTTTCCCAGGCTGAACGGATTGCCATTCCAAATGCCTGCTCTTCAGGAACAGACTCACCTGATTCTGCTCCGGTGTCTGATTGCGCAGCAGCAGCAGCGGCGGTGGCGGCAGCAGCAGTGCAAGGAGGGGCTATAGCAGCAGCAACAGGAGCAGCCGAAGCAGACGTACCAGCAGCAACCGACACAGCAGCAACACGCGCAGCAGAAGCAGCAGCATTGGCAGCAGGAGGAGCAGCATTTCCAGCAGCAGCACTGGCCACTGCAAAGTCACTGCCTGCTTCTCACAGTCAAACTCTACAATCACACAGCACACAATCACACAGCTTAAAATCACACCACCTGCAGTCACAAAGTCTCTCGGGATCCCAGTCAGTGGGGCAGCGGCCGTGGGGAAGCATGAGCAGCATGGGCGGGCTCCAGAGCAGTAGGTTGCCCGAGGGGGAGTCTTTGACAAGGAGAGGGGGCAGTGTGGGAGGAGAGATGGAGTTGCTGGGAGCAGGTGCGGCAGTGGAGGAGATTGATGAAGAAATCAACGTGGTGAGTTGGGTGCCTATTTGAGTCAACTTCTGTGTTGACTTTTGTGTTGACTTTTGTGTTGACCTTTGAGTCCGCTCATGCGCCACCTTGGGAGGCGACATGGAGTTGCTAGGAGCAGGTGCGGCTGTGGAGGAGATTGACGAGGAAATCAAAGTGGTGAGTTATGTGCCTTTTGAGTTGACTTTTGAGTTGACTTTTGAGTCGAATTGTCCACTCAAAAGCCACTTGGGGGGCGGAATGGAGTTGCTGGGAGCAGGTGCGGCTGTGGAGGAGATTGATGAGGAAATCAACGTGGTGAGTCGAAGGCAATGGTGAGTTGGGTGACTTTTGAGTTGACTTTTGAATTGCCCTTTCCATTCTCTCTGGCATGTGCGGCTAACTCCCTGCTTATGCTAAACCTCCCCCCCTTACCCCCACCTCCTCCTCCCCCACCCCCTCAGTGTGGGGGAGGTGCAGGTGGGGCAGGCGGGTGCACTTTCTTCTTTGCCTCGCCTTCTGTTTCCTCTCTTCTGTTCTTACCGTACCTCCTTCCCTGCTCTCCCCCGCCCCCAACTCCCCCCAATCATGCCCGCCCTGGCTGAACGACCTGGCGGACATAGCGGAGAATGTGGGGTAGGTGCAGGTGCGGCAGGCGGACACTGGTGGTGCTGCTTGTTTCCCTTTGCTTCTCCCTGTTCTGTGCTCACTCTGTCCTTCCCCCACCTCCCGCGCACCACCAGCTGAACGACCTAGCGGACATAGCGGAGGATGTGGGGGAGGTGCAGGTGGGGCAGGCGGACGCCCTGGCGCTGCTCTCCACCGACATCCACGACCTCTCTGCCCTGCTGCGCTCCCCTCCCATGCTGCTGCTGCCACGCTTCTGGCGTGTCGCTTGCTCTCACTCCCAGCCTTCGCTCTTCCTCTCCCCTGTGCTTACCCTGTCTCCTTCACCCCATTCCCCCCACCTCCCGCCTCCCCACCCCTCCCCTCAGCTGAACGATCTGGCGGACATAGCGGAGGATGTGGGGGAGGTGCAGGTGGGGCAGGCGGACGCCCTGGCGCTGCTCTCCACCGACATCCACGACCTCTCTGCCCTCCTGCACTCGCACGCTGCTGCCGTGCTGCTTGCTCTCACACCCTCTCTTCCGCTCTCCCATGCTTACCGTATCACCTTTCCCCCTTCCTCCCCCCCTTCTCCCCCCCCTCCCCTCCCCTCCCTCCTCCTGCCCACCCATCCCCCCAGCTGAACGATCTGGCGGACATAGCGGAGGATGTGGGGGAGGTGCAGGTGGGGCAGGCGGACGCCCTGGCGCTGCTCTCCACAGACATCCACGACCTCTCCGCCCTGCTGCGCTCGCACGCTGCTCGCTTTCCCTGCGTGCAGATATTTGGGCTCCGCATCGCCATTCTGCTGCAGTAAGGATGGCTTGGTGTATTGTCTCTGCATGGTGTTTAGGGTGTTTGGAGTCAGAGAGTGTAATTGTGATAAGACACACAGTGTGATGGATTTGACTGGGCATGGGTGTGCCTCTGTGCTTGTGCGCTGCTCTCCACCGAAATCCGCGACTTCTCCGATTGGACTGGGCATGGGTGTGCCTCTCCGCCCTGCTGCACTCGCACGCTGCGCGCTTCCCCTGCGTGCACATCTTTGGGCTGCGCTGCGCATTGCCATCCTGCTGCAGTATGGATGGGATACGAGCCACACACATATGTCCCCTCGGAGTCACACCCACCTACACTTGTATGTCCATGGTAGTGCACACCACTTGTGTGCAGAAGTATCATCGATTGTTTGTTGCAGCTTCAAGCTTTTGAGTCGACTCAAAAGTCCCCTCGGAGTCACACCTACACTTGTATGTCCATGGTACTGCACACCACTTGTGTGCATAGGAAAATAGTTTCGACCTAGATCCAACAGAGCTAACTCGTTCTAATCTCTTCTAGGCTGAGCTTAGGCTAGTAGGGATTGAATAGGTAAGAAAATTGTCATTCAAACTTGTGTGCAGAAGTATCATCGATTGTTTGTCTTTTGAGGCGCCTCAAAAGTCGTCACGCCTACACTTGTATGTCCATGGTAGTGCACACCACTTGTGTGCAGAGGTATCATCGATTGTTTGTTGATGATACTTCTGCACACAAGCTTCAACCTTCAAACTTCTTCCCATCTGGTCTCTCACCCTCTCTCCCCTCTCTCCCCTCTCCACCTCTCCTCCTCTCCTCCTCTCCCTTCCCAGAGCGAAATACCAGCGAGTGTTGCAGCTTATAGCATTCCACAGGGGGCCCGAAGCAGCAGCTGCCTCTCCCAGAAGCAACCCCAGCTTCAGCTCTCCTTTCTTCCCCCCTCTCCCCTCCCCTCCCCCCTCCTCCCTGAGAAAAGTACCAGCGAGTGCTGCAGCTTATAGCATTTAACAGCGGGCCCGAAGCAGCAGTCAACTCCTCTAGCAGCAACAACAACTCCTCCTCTCCCCTTGTCCCCTCTCTCCCCCGTCCCAGAGAGAAGTACCAACGAGTGTTGCAGCTCAGAGCCTTTCACAGCGGGCCCGAAGCAGCAGCAGCTAATTCCCCCACCGGCAATCCCAGCGCCGCAGGGGGATCTTTCACTCTCCCCCACTCACTGGGGAGCATTGGGGGCGGGGGGAGCAGGGGAGGGGGCGGCGGAGGCGGAGGGGGAATGGGGGAGAAGGAGCAGCGCACGACGATTGATGACTTTGAGATCATCAAGCCGATCAGCAAGGGCGCGTATGGGCGCGTGTTTTTGGCGCAGAAGCGAACCACAGGGGATTTGTTCGCTATTAAGGTAGGGAAAGCCTTAAACCCGAAACCCTAAAAAGCAGCGCACGACGATTGATGACTTTGAGATCATCAAGCCCATCAGCAAAGGGGCGTATGGGCGCGTGTTCCTGGCTCAGAAAAGAACCACAGGGGATCTGTTTGCCATCAAGGTAGGGAGGAGCACGAGGGGGAGATTGATGCGCAAGCCCCCCATCCACGAAGGGGCGTATGGGCGTGTGTTCCTGGCTCAGAAAAGAACCACAGGGGATCTGTTTGCCATCAAGGTAGGGAGGGGCACGAGGGGGAGATTGATGCGCAAGCCCCCCATCCACGAAGGGGCGTATGGGCGCGTGTTCCTGGCTCAGAAAAGAACCACTGGGGACCTGCTCGCCATCAAGGTATGTATCATCAGGAGGGAGGGAAGGAGGGGGAAGACGAAAGGGAGAATGCTTTGATGTGTGAGTGGCTTTTGAGGATTCCCGAAGGTGACTCCAGTCAACATAGCTGTTGCTGTGTGTGTGAGTACCTGACCTGTGTAACTACGTCTCTCTCACTAGTTCATGCGTCCCTCTCCACCTTTCTCTCATTCACATCACATGTTCCTCTCCCCCCTTTCTCCCTCAGGTGCTCTGGAAAGCGGACACGATTCGAAAGAATGCAGTGGAGAGCGTGCAGGCGGAGAGGAACATGCGCGGTCGTCATGCGCTGCTTCTACTCCTTCACGTTGCACTCTCCCCTCCCCCCTCCCCTCCCCCCCTCTCCCGCCCCCCCTCTCCCGCCCCCTTTCCCCACACCCCCACTTTCCTCCTCCCCTGCTCACCCCGTCCTCCTCTCCCCCTCCCCTCCTTCCCATCCCCTCCCATCCCCTCCCATCCCCTTCCATCCCCTCCCCTCCCCTCCCCTCCCCTCCCCTCCCCTCCCATCCCTCCCCTCCCCTCCCCTCCCCTCCCCTCCCATCCCCTCCCATCCCCTCCCATCCCCTTCCATCCCCTCCCCTCCCCTTCCCTCCCCTCCCCTCCCCTCCCCTCCCCTCCCATCCCCTCCCCTCCCCTCCCCTCCCCTCCCATCCCCTCCCCTCCCCTCCCCTCCCCTCCCCTCCCCTCCCATCCCCTCCCCTCCCATCCCCTCCCCTCCCCTCCCCTCCCCTCCCCTCCCATCCCCTTCCATCCCCTCCCCTCCCCTCCCCTCCCCTCCCCTCCCCTCCCATCCCCTCCCCTCCCCTCCCCTCCCCTCCCATCCCCTCCCATCCCCTCCCATCCCCTTCCATCCCCTCCCCTCCCCTCCCCTCCCCTCCCCTCCCCTCCCATCCCCTCCCCTCCCCTCCCCTCCCCTCCCCTCCCCTCCCATCCCCTCCCATCCCCTCCATCCCCTTCCATCCCCTCCCCTCCCCTCCCTTCCCCTCCCCTCCCCTCCCCTCCCCTCCCATCCCCTCCCCTCCCCTCCCCTCCCCTCCCCTCCCATCCCCTCCCATCCCCTCCCATCCCCTTCCATCCCCTCCCCTCCCATCCCCTCCCATCCCCTTCCATCCCCTCCCCTCCCCTCCCCTCCCCTCCCCTCCCATCCCCTCCCCTCCCCTCCCCTCCCCTCCCCTCCCATCCCCTCCCATCCCCTCCCATCCCCCTCCTTCAGGTGCTCCGGAAAGCTGATATGATCCGGAAGAACGCAGTGGAGAGCGTGCAGGCAGAGCGCAACATCCTCGCTTCCGCCAGGAGCCCCTTTGTGGTGCGCTGCTTCTACTCCTTCACTCACATTCCCCCCATCCTTCTCCCCCTTATCCCCCTCCTTCAGGTGCTCCGGAAAGCTGATATGATCCGGAAGAACGCAGTGGAGAGCGTGCAGGCAGAGAGAAACATCCTCGCCTCCGCCAGGAGTCCGTTTGTGGTGCGCTGCTTCTACTCGTTCACGTGTCGGGAGAACCTGTACATGGTGATGGAGTATCTCGATGGGGGCGACCTCTTCTCTCTGCTCCATGCCTGCGAGGCTTTGGAAGAGTCTACTGCATGCTTTTACATGGCTGAACTGGTGAGTGTAGCACACTGGGGTTGACGGTAGGGAGAACCTGTACATGGTGATGGAGTACCTGGATGGGGGCGACCTCTTCTCTCTGCTGCACGCCTGCGAGGCGCTAGAGGAGTCTACTGCATGCTTCTTCACTGCTGAGCTGGTGCGTTGACTGCCATTGACTATGGTTGACTGGCGTTGACTGGGGTTGAATGGGATTGACTGGGTCTACTCGTTCACTTTGACTGGGAGAACCTGTATGTGATGGAGTATCTCGATGGGGGCGACCTCTTCTCGCTGCTGCACGCTTGTGAGGCACTCGAGGAGTCCACAGCATGTTTCTACACTGCCGAGCTGGTGCGTACTCACCACTAGGGTTACTGGCATTGACTGGCGTTGACTGCTTCTACTCGTTCACGTGTCGGGAAGAGTCTACTGCGTGCTTCTACACGGCTGAGCTGGTGAGTGCAGCACACTTGCGTTGACTGGCATTGACTGGCGTTGACTGGCATTGACTGGCGTTGACTGGCATTGACTGGCGTTGACTTGCTTCTACTCGTTCACGTGTCGGGAGAACCTGTACATGGTGATGGAGTATCTCGATGGGGGCGACCTCTTCTCGCTTCTGCACACCTGCAAGGCACTAGAGGAGTCTACTGCATGCTTCTACACTGCTGAGCTGGTGCGTGTACACTGGGGTTGACTGACGTTGACTGGGCTGGGCTTGACTGGCGTTGAATGACGTTGACTGGCATTTTTTTGGCGCCAGCTTCTCCCCTCCCCGCCCCCTCCTCCTCTCCTCGCGTCCTCAACCCCTTCATGTTCTCCCCACTCTCCCCTTTCACCCCCTCCAGGTGCAAGCGTTGGAGTATCTGCCCTGCGTGGCGGTGGTGCATCGCAACACTAACAGTTTTCTATCTCAACCCTCCTCTCCCTCTCTTCCCCACCCCTCACCTCACTCCGCTCCCCCCTCTCTTCCCTTACTGCCGCCAGGTGCGAGCGTTGGAGTATCTGCACTCCTTGGGGGTGGTGCATTCCCTTCCAACCCTCCGCCTCCCTCTCCACCCCACCCAACCGCTCTCCTTTATTACTGTTCCCAGGTGCAAGCGTTGGAGTATCTACACTCCTTGGGGGTGGTGCATAGGGACATAAAACCAGACAACCTGCTGATTGCACATGACGGGCACATCAAGGTGAGATGGGTGAAATGGGACGCTCATGTCATGCTGTCGTTTCATGGCCTTTGAGGCGCCTCAAATGTCTAAACTCTTTGGTTGAGGGTGGTGCATCGGGACATCAAGCCAGACAACCTGCTCATAGCACACGATGGGCACATCATCAAGGTGAGATGGGTGAGGTGGGATGCTCGTGCTGTCCTTTTGTAGTGAGTCGATTTTTGAGTCGACTCAAAAATCGAGTCGACTCAAAAATCGAGTCGACTAAAAAATCGAGTCGACTCAAAAATTGAGATGGGTGAGGTGGGATGCTCGTGCTTTCCTTTGATATGCACGAGTTTGATTGGCATAGTTTGATTGTAGTACTGTTGGCCTTTCCTGGTTCGGTTCTGAATGTGCTTGATGTTGATCACTTGTGGAGCCTTGCCCGACCACCCCTCTCATCACCCCTCACCACCCACGCCCACTGCTCTTCAGCTTACGGACTTTGGTCTATCAAGGGTGGGGCTGATCAACAGTGCCGGGGACCTCTCCACCAATCAGAACCCGCCCATCCCTTCCCACCATGCCTCCGCACCTTCCTCCCCTGGTAAGCACCGCCCCTGGTGAAACGCCTCCTTTGATAACCTCCTTTCCTCATTAGCACATGCACTGCTAAAGTGTGAGGCACCTCCCCTTGCTAGAAGCGGCCGAAGGCCCGCCCTGCTTGCCTCTCTGATTTAGCTCCCCCATCTCCTTAACCCTTTCTTCTCTCCTAAACCGACCCTTCTCCCCATTTACAGGCAAGCTCTTTCCCCACTCGTACAGCGTCAGCTCCGAAGGAGCAGCAGCAGACTCACCGCTCTGGACCGCATCCAGCCTGCAGGAATTCCCCTCTCCCCGCTCTGGACCCCCTTCCACTCTCTCTGGTCCCCACTCCTACCCCACCTCTGGCTACTCCTCCCCCTTGCATGCTCCCGGATATGCCTCCCCTTTGCATGCATCTGGGTGCTCTTCCCCTCTGCATCCTTCCGGGTTGGGGGGAGGAGGGGTGGGCGGAGGGGGAGGAGGAGGAGGAGGGGGGTCGTTTTGTTCCTCGCCTTCGCATTTTGCAGGAGGGGGTGGAGGAGGCGGAGGAGGAGGAGGAGGGGGAGGGGGGGGAGGAGGAGGGGGAGGAGGAGGGGGGATGCACTGTTCATCGCCCTCTCAGATCATCACACAGAGGTGGCAGCAGCAGGCTCAGCATGCCTCCCTGCTGAGACGCCTGACTGGCGCAGGTGAAGGTAATGGGGGGAGCGGTAGCTCCGGCACCGGTAATGGCAGCAGCAGCAATGCATGGGGTAACGGCAACGGGAATGGCAATGGCAACAGTGAGAGTGATGAGCGAAAGGGAGGGGGGGACTGTGTGGAAGACGAGGAGGCAGGCAAGGAGGGCCGTGCAGAGGAGGCAAGCAAGGAGGGCCGTGCAGAGGAGAAGAATGTGGAGGGGTATGGTGAGGATGATGGGGAGGGTAATGGGAAGGAGGATGCTAACAGTGAAGCCACTCGTACTGCTCCTGCTGCTGCCATGCCAAATACCACAGATCCAGCTGCTGCTACAGCTGCTGGTACTGATACCGCTACAGCTGCTGCTGGTTCTGGGGTGGGAGAGAGCAGGGGAGCAGGAGCGGAGGGGGGAGGGAGGGTGGCAGTGGAGGCAGTTGGAGTTGCAGTGGGAGGAGGGGGAGGAGGAAGAGGAACCGAGGGAGGGGAGAGCAGGGGAGCAGCAGCGGAGGGAGGAGGGAGAGTGGCAGTGGAGGCAGTGGGAACGCCAGACTACTTGGCTCCAGAGATTCTGCTCGGCCTTCCACACGGTGCGCGGTTCTGTGAGGTGGAGTGCGGTGCTGGGTGATGGGGCTTGGTAGGATGGGTATTACTTACATGGCATGGTATGGGGGTGAGACTACCTGGCTCCGGAGATTCTGCTCGGCCTCCACACAGTGCGTGGTTTTGTAAGGTGGAGTGCGGTGCCATGTGGTGTTTGGCACCGACTGGTGGTCGGGTCGGTGGGAGTGCTGCTGTGCTGTACGAGCTGCTGGTCTTTTGAGACGTCTCAAAAGTTCTCAAGAGCTGCTGGTCGGGATCCTGCTTTGTCCATTGTCGATGTCTGTTGTCTGTTGTCCACTCGTTTCCATCCCATTCCGCTCTCTCTGTCTGCTTTGTCTGTTGTCGATGTCTGTTGTCTGTTGTCCACTTGTTTCCATCCCATTCCGCTCGTCCTTGGTCGCCCCCTCTCTGTATTCATCGCCCGCCCTCCCAGGCCCTGCAGCAGACTGGTGGTCAGTGGGAGTGCTGTTATATGAGCTGCTGGTGGGAATCCCGCTTTCCCCTCCACTCGCACTATCTTGGTGTCATTCTTTGACCACTCTTTTCCATCCCATTCCATTCCACCCGCCCTTGTTTACCCCTCTCTGTACTCATTTCTCTGCATTCCAGGCCCTGCAGCGGACTGGTGGTCGGTGAGAGTGCTGCTATACGAGCTGCTGTTGGGGTGGGGATCCCTCTCTGTCTGGGGAGTAACTCTCTGCACCACTCATTTCCACTCCATTCCACCCGCCCTTGTTTACCCCTCTCTGTACTCATTTCTCTGCATTCCAGGCCCTGCAGCGGACTGGTGGTCGGTGGGAGTGCTGCTATACGAGCTGCTGTTGGGGTGGGGATCCCGCTCTGTCTGGGGAGTAACTCTCTGCACCACTCATTTCCACTCCATTCCATTCGCCCTTGCTTGCCCCTCTCTGCACTCACCTCTCTGCATTCCAGGCCCTGCGGCCGACTGGTGGTCAGTGGGAGTGCTGCTGTATGAGCTGCTGGTGGGGATCCCACCCTTCAACGCCCCCTCTCCTCAGGTACCTCTCTCCCCCTGTGTGCACGCACACTGTTAATGGAATATTCGAGTTTTTAGTCGACTCAAAACTCGGCCCCCTCTCCTCAGGTACCTCTCTTCCCCTGTGTGCACGCACACTGTTAATGGAATATTGCAATATTCTCCCGCTTGCAATGCTCTCGCACAACACCCTCCCTCCCCCCCCCCCCGTCCCCCCCCTTCTCCCCCTGCCCCCCAATCCACCCTCGTGTGCATGCACACTTCTGAGTTTTGATACATTTCAGAACCCTTTGTTTTGTGCGCACTGTCCCTCACGTTCCTCCCACATCCTCCCGGTGTCCGCTGTATCCTCCTTACAAGTGAATCCATGACAACAAACTATCCCTCCTCCTCCTCCCATTTCCATCCCGGTACCATTTTCGCTTATCCCCCTTATAAGCAAATATTTGACAACATATTGAACCGCGACATCACATGGCCTGCGGTGCCAGAAGACATGTCATATGAGGCGAAAGACCTAATCGAGAGGTATGCGCATCGAGAGACCTCATAGATGGGTATGTGTGCATTGCGTGCGTGTGACTTTTGAGCGCCTCAACCGCAGGATCCCATGGCCAGCCGTGCCAGAAGACATGTCATATGAGGCGAAGGACCTAATCGAGAGGTATGCGCATTGCCTGGCTTTTGAGTCGACTTCAAATGCATTGCCTGTGACTTGCGAGGCGCCTCAAAAGCCATCACATGGCCTGCCGTGCCAGAGGACATGGCGAAAGATTTGATTGACAGGTATGTGCCATGCGAATTCCCAAGCCAGGTCAAGGTGAACTTGTTAGAAGAAAAGGAAGACATGTCATTTGAGGTAACGGACATCATTTACAGGTAAGTGCATTTTTTAGACGTCTCAAAAGTACACTTCGTTCACGTGCCTGTGGCAATCAAATTCAGATTTTAATGCGTACGCTGCACTACGCTTATCCCAGTGACTGTCTGGGAAAAGGGAAGGGGGATGGGGGAGTGGGGGGGAAAAGGAGAGAAACATAAGGAAAAGGAGGAAAAACCCTCACTTATCCCATTAGCCTTGTTGTTTCCCTGCCTGCTGCTCTCTCCTGTGTTCCGCAGACTTCTCACGTTCGACCCGGATGAGCGTCTAGGCGCCCAGGGAGCAGACGAGGTCAGCCACCCCTTGCCACCCCTTGCCACTCCTAAACACCACTTCTCTCCCTTGCTCTCCGTGCACTCACTCTGCTGTTATTTACTCAGTCCAGTTACCCACTCTGTTACTTACCCTTTGCTCTGTGGTTTTTTTTTGTTGTTGTTGTTTTTTTTTTTTTTTTTGGCTCTTTGGTTTGCTGGAAACGTGACGTGTTTGCCCGGTCTGCCCCTCTTACATGTCCTTACGTGCAGATCAAGAGGCATCCCTTCTTTCGCGACATTGACTGGGACACGCTTTCCTCTGAAAAGGTTAGACCCTTTCTCTTCCTGCACTTGCTGCACCCATTGCCGCTGCTGCTCTAGGGCCACAGCAGCAACTGATCCCCTCCTTTCCCTCCCTTTCAGCCGCCGTTCATTCCCGAGCCCGAGAACGCACACGACACGAGCTACTTTTCATGCCGCTACGGGGCAAACGCGCTGGAAGGAGGGGAGGGCGTGGTGTTGTGTGGGGGGGGCGGATGGGCGCAGCAGCAACTTATTCCCCTCTCTTGCCAATGTGCTCCCCCTGCTGCCCTCCTCTCAGCCCCCGTTCGTGCCCGAGCCGGAGAACGCACACGACACGAGCTACTTTGCATGCCGCTACGGGGCATGTTGGGTCGCAGATGGCCCCAGCAGCAACTGATTTATTCCCCTCTCTTGCCAATGTGTCCCCCTGCCCTCCCGTTGCCCCCCTGCCCTCCTCTCAGCCCCCGTTTGTGCCCGAGCCGGAGAACGCTCACGACACGAGCTACTTTGCATGCCGCTACGGGGCCAACGCAATGGAAGGAGGGGAGGGCGTGGTGGGTGGGGCTGGGGGAGATGCGCGCAGCAGCAACTACAGCAGCAGTGGCGGCAGCACGAGTGATTCAGAAGACCTGGAGATGGAACGGGTGAGTAGGGTGGGTATTTGGAGGACGAGGGGCGCGGGGAGGCGTGGGAGGGGCAGATGTGCGCAGAAGCAACTACAGCAGCAGCGGCGGCAGCACGAGTGACTCGGAAGACCCGGAGATGGAAAGGGCAAGATTCGGGGGTGTTGGGTAGGGATCTAGTGGGGGAAGAAAACCTGGAATGGGGGGTTGAAGTTTAGGAGAAGCAGCAGCGGCAGCAGCACAAGTGACTCAGTAGACCTGGAGATGGAAAGGGTGAGATGGAAAGGGTGAGATGGAAAGGGTGAGATGGAAAGGGTGCGATGGAAAGGGTGCGATGGAAAGGGTGCGATGGAAAGGGTGCGATGGAAAGGGTGCGATGGAAAGGGTGAGATGGAAAGGGTGAGTAGGGCGGGTGTTTGGGGGGCGAGGGTGCGTGGGAGGGGCAGATGTGCGCAGCAGCAACTACAGCAGCAGCGGCGGCAGCACAAGTGACTCGGAACACCTGGAGATGGAAAGGGTGAGCCGAGGGGGTGTTGGGTAGGGATCTAGTGGGGGAAGAAAACCTGGAATGGGGGGTTCAAGTTTAGGAGAAGCAGCAGCGGCGGCAGCACGAGTGACTCGGAAGGCTTGGAGATGGAAAGGGTATGCTGGGGGAATAAGGCGGTGGCTCAGCACACGAAGGCATCTGATTGTCTTTTGAGTCGACTCAAAAGACACCTCGGCACCTGCGAAAGCAAACTCCATGACCCAATCCCTCTCCTGTGCTTTTGCCTTACCTCCCTTGCCTCCCAGTGCGTGTCTCTCCTCCTCTCACACCCACCTCTCCCCGCTCTCCCCGCCCTCCTCCTTCCTCCCCACTCTCCTCGCTCATCCCTCACAACCCTCGCTACTCTCCCCTCTCATGTCTCTCTCCCATCAGCACGACGAGGCGGGTGACATGCCCGCGTTCCAGGCCAACTTCTCTCTCACCCCTCCCACCCGTTCCACTCTCCTCTCTCACCCCTCCCACCCGTTCCACTCTCCTCTCTCACCCCTCCCACCCGTTCCACTCTCCTCTCTCACCCCTCCCACCCGTTCCACTCTCCTCTCTCACCCCTCCCACCCGTTCCACTCTCCTCTCTCACCCCTCCCACCCGTTCCACTCTCCTCTCTCACCCCTCCCACCCGTTCCACTCTCCTCTCTCACCCTCCCAGCCGTTCCACCCCTTCTCACCCCCACCCGTTCCACTCTCCTCTCTCACCCCTCCCACCCGTTCCACTCTCCTCTCTCACCCCTCCCACCCGTTCCACTCTCCTCTCTCACCCCTCCCACCCGTTCCACTCTCCTCTCTCACCCCTCCCACCCGTTCCACTCTCCTCTCTCACCCCTCCCACCCGTTCCACTCTCCTCTCTCACCCCTCCCACCCGTTCCACTCTCCTCTCTCACCCCTCCCACCCGTTCCACTCTCCTCTCTCACCCCTCCCACCCGTTCCACTCTCCTCTCTCACCCCTCCCCACCCGTTCCACTCTCCTCTCTCACCCCTCCCACCCGTTCCACTCTCCTCCTCACCCCTCCCACCCGTTCCACTCTCCTCTCTCACCCCTCCCACCCGTTCCACTCTCCTCTCTCACCCCTCCCACCCGTTCCACTCTCCTCTCTCACCCCTCCCACCCGTTCCACTCTCCTCTCTCACCCCTCCCACCCGTTCCACTCTCCTCTCTCACCCCTCCCACCCGTTCCACTCTCCTCTCTCACCCCTCCCACCCGTTCCACTCTCCTCTCTCACCCCTCCCACCCGTTCCACTCTCCTCTCTCACCCCTCCCACCCGTTCCACTCTCCTCTCTCACCCCTCCCACCCGTTCCACTCTCCTCTCTCACCCCTCCCACCCGTTCCACTCTCCTCTCTCACCCCTCCCACCCGTTCCACTCTCCTCTCTCACCCCTCCCACCCGTTCCACTCTCCTCTCTCACCCCTCCCACCCGTTCCACTCTCCTCTCTCACCCCTCCCACCCGTTCCACTCTCCTCTCTCACCCCTCCCACCCGTTCCACTCTCCTCTCTCACCCCTCCCACCCGTTCCACTCTCCTCTCTCACCCCTCCCACCCGTTCCACTCTCCTCTCTCACCCCTCCCACCCGTTCCACTCTCCTCTCTCACCCCTCCCACCCGTTCCACTCTCCTCTCTCACCCCTCCCACCCGTTTCCACTCTCCTCTCTCACCCCTCCCACCCGTTCCACTCTCCTCTCTCACCCCTCCCACCCGTTCCACTCTCCTCTCTCACCCCTCCCACCCGTTCCACTCTCCTCTCTCACCCCTCCCACCCGTTCCACTCTCCTCTCTCACCCCTCCCACCCGTTCCACTCTCCTCTCTCACCCCTCCCACCCGTTCCACTCTCCTCTCTCACCCCTCCCACCCGTTCCACTCTCCTCTCTCACCCCTCCCACCCGTTCCACTCTCCTCTCTCACCCCTCCCACCCGTTCCACTCTCCTCTCTCACCCCTCCCACCCGTTCCACTCTCCTCTCTCACCCCTCCCACCCGTTCCACTCTCCTCTCTCACCCCTCCCACCCGTTCCACTCTCCTCTCTCACCCCTCCCACCCGTTCCACTCTCCTCTCTCACCCCTCCCACCCGTTCCACTCTCCTCTCTCACCCCTCCCACCCGTTCCACTCTCCTCTCTCACCCCTCCCACCCGTTCCACTCTCCTCTCTCACCCGCCGTTCCACTCTCCTCTCTCACCCCTCCCACCCGTTCCACTCTCCTCTCTCACCCCTCCCACCCGTTCCACTCTCCTCTCTCACCCCTCCCACCCGTTCCACTCTCCTCTCTCACCCCTCCCACCCGTTCCACTCTCCTCTCTCACCCCTCCCACCCGTTCCACTCTCCTCTCTCACCCCTCCCACCCGTTCCACTCTCCTCTCTCACCCTCCCACCCGTTCCACTCTCCTCTCTCACCCCTCCCACCCGTTCCACTCTCCTCTCTCACCCCTCCCACCCGTTCCACTCTCCTCTCTCACCCCTCCCACCCGTTCCACTCTCCTCTCTCACCCCTCCCACCCGTTCCACTCTCCTCTCTCACCCCTCCCACCCGTTCCACTCTCCTCTCTCACCCCTCCCACCCGTTCCACTCTCCTCTCTCACCCCTCCCACCCGTTCCACTCTCCTCTCTCACCCCTCCCACCCGTTCCACTCTCCTCTCTCACCCCTCCCACCCGTTCCACTCTCCTCTCTCACCCCTCCCACCCGTTCCACTCTCCTCTCTCACCCCTCCCACCCGTTCCACTCTCCTCTCTCACCCCTCCCACCCGTTCCACTCTCCTCTCTCACCCCTCCCACCCGTTCCACTCTCCTCTCTCACCCCTCCCACCCGTTCCACTCTCCTCTCTCACCCCTCCCACCCGTTCCACTCTCCTCTCTCACCCCTCCCACCCGTTCCACTCTCCTCTCTCACCCCTCCCACCCGTTCCACTCTCCTCTCTCACCCCTCCCACCCGTTCCACTCTCCTCTCTCACCCCTCCACCCGTTCCACTCTCCTCTCTCACCCCTCCCACCCGTTCCACTCTCCTCTCTCACCCCTCCCACCCGTTCCACTCTCCTCTCTCACCCCTCCCACCCGTTCCACTCTCCTCTCTCACCCCTCCCACCCGTTCCACTCTCTCTCACCCCCTCCACCCGTTCCACTCTCCTCTCTCACCCCTCCCACCCGTTCCACTCTCCTCTCTCACCCCTCCCACCCGTTCCACTCTCCTCTCTCACCCCTCCCACCCGTTCCACTCTCCTCTCTCACCCCTCCCACCCGTTCCACTCTCCTCTCTCACCCCTCCCACCCGTTCCACTCTCCTCTCTCACCCCTCCCACCCGTTCCACTCTCCTCTCTCACCCCTCCCACCCGTTCCACTCTCCTCTCTCACCCCTCCCACCCGTTCCACTCTCCTCTCTCACCCCTCCCACCCGTTCCACTCTCCTCTCTCACCCCTCCCACCCGTTCCACTCTCCTCTCTCACCCCTCCCACCCGTTCCACTCTCCTCTCTCACCCCTCCCACCCGTTCCACTCTCCTCTCTCACCCCTCCCACCCGTTCCACTCTCCTCTCTCACCCCTCCCACCCGTTCCACTCTCCTCTCTCACCCCTCCCACCCGTTCCACTCTCCTCTCTCACCCCTCCCACCCGTTCCACTCTCCTCTCTCACCCCTCCCACCCGTTCCACTCTCCTCTCTCACCCCTCCCACCCGTTCCACTCTCCTCTCTCACCCCTCCCACCCGTTCCACTCTCCTCTCTCACCCCTCCCACCCGTTCCACTCTCCTCTCTCACCCCTCCCACCCGTTCCACTCTCCTCTCTCACCCCTCCCACCCGTTCCACTCTCCTCTCTCACCCCTCCCACCCGTTCCACTCTCCTCTCTCACCCCTCCCACCCGTTCCACTCTCCTCTCTCACCCCTCCCACCCGTTCCACTCTCCTCTCTCACCCCTCCCACCCGTTCCACTCTCCTCTCTCACCCCTCCCACCCGTTCCACTCTCCTCTCTCACCCCTCCCACCCGTTCCACTCTCCTCTCTCACCCCTCCCACCCGTTCCACTCTCCTCTCTCACCCCTCCCACCCGTTCCACTCTCCTCTCTCACCCCTCCCACCCGTTCCACTCTCCTCTCTCACCCCTCCCACCCGTTCCACTCTCCTCTCTCACCCCTCCCACCCGTTCCACTCTCCTCTCTCACCCCTCCCACCCGTTCCACTCTCCTCTCTCACCCCTCCCACCCGTTCCACTCTCCTCTCTCACCCCTCCCACCCGTTCCACTCTCCTCTCTCACCCCTCCCACCCGTTCCACTCTCCTCTCTCACCCCTCCCACCCGTTCCACTCTCCTCTCTCACCCCTCCCACCCGTTCCACTCTCCTCTCTCACCCCTCCCACCCGTTCCACTCTCCTCTCTCACCCCTCCCACCCGTTCCACTCTCCTCTCTCACCCCTCCCACCCGTTCCACTCTCCTCTCTCACCCCTCCCACCCGTTCCACTCTCCTCTCTCACCCCTCCCACCCGTTCCACTCTCCTCTCTCACCCCTCCCACCCGTTCCACTCTCCTCTCTCACCCCTCCCACCCGTTCCACTCTCCTCTCTCACCCCTCCCACCCGTTCCA